ATGTTAAATTGTTCAGTGGTGCAGAAGTAATGGTGCGATCGACTGACATGATACAGACAGAACAGAGGCTCTTTCTGCAGGAGACATGTGCAGTAGAGTGAAGTGACAGTGGTACAGGAGGAACAGGAGCAGCAAATACTCACACACAAGACTAGAACCTCTCCACGCTGTCAGTGTGAACATTAGTATTTAATATACATTTAATATATAAGTTGCACTGGAGTATAAGTCGCAGGAAACACTCAAACCATGAAAAAAAGTGTGACTTAGGCTGCGTTCAGACTGCAGCCTGAAGTGACCCAAATCCGATTTTTTGGCCCCTATGTTCCTGTATCTGATCTTTTAATGACAGTCTGAACGACACAGATCTGATTTTTTCAAATGTGACCCAGGACACTTGGATATGTGCTCCTGAAACCGATACATATCTGATCTTTTGACATGTGACTTCAGTGTGAACGGCCAAAGCTCATCCATCCACCTACACGTTATCAACAAGCCACAAACGTCACTATTCTGCACTGAAGTAGGTGAAAATAGTTAATGAACTCCATGTCACTGAAGTGAAGCACATCACCACTCACCACTCTTGGCAACATCTCCACATCCACACGTTCCTTTCAACAGACGTGGCTGCAACTGTCCCACAAAACACCACGACCAAAAACCTCGTCCTTCTCCTTCTCAATCTCCTCCTTAAAACAAGTAAGTTGATCATGTTCTGGCTCCGGTACGAGAGGAACTTTAAAATCTCCAGGTGCTCAATGCTGCGTCCATGTTTGGACAACTTCAGTAAACACAGAGACGCTCGCTGCGGTTGACGTCGTCGTGTCTCCAGTGTCACATGTGGGACACTTTTGGGCCGTTTAATGTTCACACTGGAGTCACATACAAGTCACATTTAATTGGAAATGTGAAGGACCTCGCAAAAACATCAGATTTCACAAAAAAATCGGAATTGAGCATTAAGCCCTGCAGTCTGAACGTAGCCTTAGAGTCCGAAAAATATGGTAATCTGATCCCGGCCAACAGTAAAGAGGAGCATAAATTTACATTTGTTTATCCAGAATACAGAATCGTGTTTACAAGTGACCATAAAGCAAAAAATAAAATAAAATAATAATAGAAGTTCCTCATATTATGACTGACACGACAATGTTACGCGCTCTTTTCAGAATCTTATTTATAACAAATATTCCAACCTGGGTATGTCCCAGTTTTGAATGTTGAAAATCCGGTCACCTTAGAGTAAAAGTACTGCATTTATGGAGACTAAAGAGTGAACAGGTGCAGTGCGCTGGGAGGTAAACTTGGGCTAAAGACTTAATCAAATGCAGAGTGAATACATGCATGTCAGTGTGTGTAGAAGAAGAGAGAGATGGAGAGAGGGAAAAGAGAAAGAGAGGGAAGGAACAGAAGGAGAGACGTGAGGCTAGAACAGAAAAGGGTGGTGTTAGAAGAGAGAGAGGGTGTGAGAGAAGGATTGATAGAAAGATGGACGGATGTGAGAGGGGAGGAAAGAGAAAGAGGATGTGACTCTGCACAGTGTCAGGTGACCGTGTTTATTCAAAGTGCTGGCGTCACACAGAGCAGAGCTGACAGGTACAGACTCTGTGGGTTTAACGTTCAGTCAAACGGGAACAACAAACCGCAGTAAAGATAATCTGCGTGAAGTTGGCCGCCCATCAAACGCAAACCCGCACAAAACCTGTCAACCGTTTGTGCTGCAAAAAGTTTCATTTGTGCTGCTTTAGTTTTGGAGATATTAAAGATTCTTTTATAGGTCAAATTAGGGTCAACAGCCCCCAGGAAGCTCCAAAATGCTCTAAAACACCACAAAATGGAGTCAATCATTTGTGCAATTCTGATTCTTAACCCTTATATTGTGTTTGGGTCAAAATTGACCCATTTTCAAGTTTAGGTATGTAAAAACTACCATTTGCTTTTTTGTACTGGAACGAGGCTTCATCTAATCCTCAGATACAACTATTTTAACGCAACAAAATTAATTTTCACCATTTTAGTAAATTGTAAAGTTCTGGGAAAAAAAGTGACATTTGTGGTGTTACAGGTCAAATATGACAAGGCCGTCTTCATCCACCTGAACTTTTCTCTTTCTCACAGCACATTGATACAGTTTGAATCAAAAATAAACATTGTCATATATAAACAGGGTTTTAGTGAGATATTATCAGCTGTATCTGTTGCAGCATCAGTCAACATGAGCAGGTTCACTGTTTATGAGGCACTGGATCAGATCTTTGGTCATGACAGTGATTCTGAAGACAGAGAGGAAAGTGAAGCTGAGGAAGATGTGTCTGAGGATGAGGAGATGGACTGTATAAAAGAAGTGGACTAAGTGAGTGGGATGTTACCAACAGTGTTTAGCGCCGCTCAAATGAAGCTCACAATGTTCACGAGTTACAGGAGTGAATCAAGGTTCTATGTTATGAATAGGATTTTTTGGATGGACAAAATAGCCAAAAAAAAAAAAAATCAGGATCATGTGTCACAGGTTAATACGAATATTTTAAGACCAAAATGACGAGGCTCACAGCAGCAGGTACAGAGAGAAGGACGACAAGATCCTAACATAAGTCAGTTGGAGCCAGAGTCAGAAGGAGCCGGAAGAGCCTCCTGGAGAACTTTCTATTTGGAACGCGGTGGCTACAGCGTTAGTTATGTCCATTCATATATACGTCTGTGGATGAGGATGAGGTTCAGTATGACCCTGAACAAGAGCACACATGTGGTGAGGAGAACCCAGATGTCATAGAGCAGGCATGTCCAAACTATGGCCCAGGGGCCAAATGCGGCCCTCAGACAAATTTTTCTTGGCCCTCAGGCTTTCAGGTGAATTGGCCCAAATTACCTTGCGTCAATTAAAAAATATTTTTTTACTGCAAGTTTTTTTTTGAAAATCTACCTTGATATGATAATATTTAATATTTTGGATCTTTTATTTTATATTTTAAGGATCTTAGCATGATTAAAGACTGATGGCTCATTCTAACGTGTTAAACATGCACACATTTCAATTATTTCCTGTACTGAGCACCAGTCTACTGCCCTCGATCGGCCCTCTGCTTCGTCTGTGTTTAGATATGTGGCCCTTGATGAAAAAAGTTTGGACACCCCTGTCATAGAGGCTCAAAGAGACGTCTTCAAGTCAAGAAAAGGTGACATTTCATGGTCACCAAGCCTCTTGACACCCAATATAATTATACTTAAATAAATTAGATTTATATTATATGTATTATATATAATATAATTATGATTATAGTATAATTATATAATATAATTACAAATTTTATCACTATAGGAAATATAATTAGTGAATTTAAACAGTTTTTGTAATCAAAAATGAGTGGTATATTTTAAGATAAAAGGTCTGTGAAGCCAAAAAAAAAAAAAAAAATTAAAAGTGTTTCCATGGACATGAACACATACTAAGTTAGTTATGAGGTGAAAAACAATATTGGATGATAACTAGTGTTTTTAAGTATTTTCAGGCTGAGTTAAATCACGGGTCAAATTTGACCCGGTAACACTAAAGACACGTGTAGTTTTCTAACACAATATGAGGGTTAAGATGTTAACAGTTTTATTTTGGGGGAATGACATCATCCAGTCCCTCCAAATGTGAAACAGCCTCAAAACAAGAGAAAATTTAAGGAACATTTGTATTTGGTTTAGAGATGCGCAGATGGGCTATTTTTTCATCCGCAACCGTGACACAAAACTCATCATCCGCCCATTATCCATTTGCACCCAAGGTTTTGACCAATTTTCAAAACCGCACCCGCCCGCCATCCGCCGATTGATTTTAGATTTTAGAACAATCATACAGCAAACAAACTAAGGAGCCTTGATAAAAATGCAAACTCTAAAGCTCATTCATTCCAAACTTCGCTCAGCGTGTATGTTCACAATCTTAATTGTCCGTAACAATGAACACCTGATTGTCTTGCGCAGCTAATTAATTGACAACATTTTCCGACTAGGCGATTTTTGAACCTTCTTGCCTTCGTGTTGGATGTTGTTACATTCTGAACATTCTGCCATTGCCCGATGTTATTTCAGAGTCATCGTCTTTCTACACCGAGTGGAAGCCTACGCTACAATGTCTGCGTGTTTTAAAATATAACTGATATTGAAACAAAATAGACAGATCTAGTAATAGTGGTAGCAATAGTAGGAGTGGTAGTAGTAGTAGTAGTAGTAGTAGTAGTAGTAGTAGTAGGAGTAGGAGTAGGAGTAGTAGTAGGAGTAGGAGTAGGAGTAGTAGTAGTAGTAGTAGTAGTAGAAGGAGTAGTAGTAGTAGTAGTAGGAGTAGGAGTAGTAGTAGTAGTAGTAGTAGAAGGAGTGGTAGTAGTAGTAGTAGTAGTAGGAGTAGGAGTAGTAGTAGTAGTAGTAGTAGTAGTAGTAGTAGTAGTAGTAGTAGTAGGAGTAGTAGTAGTGGTCGGACTAGCAGTAGCAGGAGTGGTAGTAGTAGTAGTAGCAGTAGTAGTAGTAGTAGTCTTAGTAGGAGGAGGAGTAGTAGAAGTAGCAGTAGTAATAGGTGTAGTAGTATTAGTAGGAGTAGTAGTAGTAGGAGGAGCAGTAGTAGTAGTAGGAGGAGGAGGAGTAGTAGGAGTAGTGGTAGTAATAGGAGTAGTAGTAGTAGTAGTAGTAGTAGGAGTAGGAGTAGGAGTAGTTGTAGGAG